TGACGAGGCAGAATATTTTCTCGCTATAAGTTGCCACTTTTGCCATAGACTATTGGCCAACCAAGGGTATAGCATTCAGTCTCTCCTGTTATTCAAACTATAGATGGATTCATTCCTTTCCCAACAGTATTTTGCGCGGAAGTAATTGTAATGAAACCGACTGGAATTCGAACTCAGCTATCCAATTTCTAATTTAGAGCCGTTTATCCATTACATCACACCTCAATGCGTTTACATTGTATGTATAATAACATTATTTACTAATTAACATTTGCTTTAATTCCTGACCATCGACAATTCCTTGCACCTTATTTTCAAAGCAAATAGATATCCTGAATATTTAAACTTGTTAACACGTATATCAAATGCCGCTGGCTTTAAAATGCAACCGCAATAATTTCTCCGGCTTATTTTACTAGAGTTGCTGTGACACGGTAAATGCAATCATTAATGTGAATGACACCTTTTTATCTAATAAATCCCACCTATGATAGCATAGGTCAATATCGATAATTCATTTTTTTTTTGTTTCTGTTGAAACTTGACTAATGCATGGAATAATAATACAACACAAAATGTACGTAGAACAAAATGTATTGAAACAAGAAAGGTACACAATATTTACATATAGTCTTTTGTATATTCTTGGGAAGACCGTTCCTGGAGAATGTGTTGACTTAGTCGCAGTCGGGCAGAGTCTCTGGATTGAATCTCTTGATTCCTCCCCTCGTCTTCCCGGTACCAACCATATTTATATAGTCGGTACTCCACTATTCAAATTAGGTGGATCCTACCACAACAGTTTCTAACCCTGAGACCCGGATTCGAATCTCATCATGGTCAATTGGTCAAGGAGGTAACTTTCTGGAACTACAGGCCTGGGAATGCGAACCCAACCTCCAGTAACGTTGAGAAATATTTGAAAGCCATACCACCTATTTATCCTGTGAATGAATGCCGTCGATTGCTGTGCCCGCACGTAAGTCACAAGTCATCGTATCTAAGGCTTTTGGTGTACTGACATTGTTAAAAAAATGATCACACGAGGTTATAACCTCTCTCTCTATCTCACTCTCCGAAACAGTAACTAATGTCTATTTAGCATAGTTAGAGTATAAGCAACAGAGTAGGCAACTATATTTCAGCATCTTGTTTATTTTGTACAAAAATAATAACCGCCCACTACATTTTCCGATCACTCGATCTGCCAATCAGGCTATTTTCAATGAAACAAGTTTAAGCACGCAAGGGGTTACAGAGAGTTGAACCGAGAGCAAAGAGGAAGGAGTGACGGAGGAAAGGATGAAGAGAAGGATAAGGGATAGATCAATGTATCTGGAGACGTTGGTTGACATTACATCTGAATAGTTGGAGATTATAGCTATCAGAGAAACAAGAAAAGAGCAGGGAGTTCCACAGGCGAGAGGTGCGAGACCTGAAGCTATTGGAGTAGAAGAGACGGCTACAGTTAACAGTGAAAGAGTGAGAGCGAGATGCCAGCCTAGTTGAACGCTTAAATTCATGAAGTCTGGAAACCAGCGGAAGCAGCTCCTCGGAGCAGTTACCATGAAAGTATTTGTAAAAAAGACAGAGGGAGGCGACGGCACGTCCTTGAGAGAGCAACTGCAGACGTGATGCCAGATAAATTTTTCAAAAGAGATACCTGCTTGCACTATGGCCAACGTTACCGAGGAAGACTTGTATTTAGTATAACAAATAAAACCATTGTAATGCTTAACTTGGGTCATTAAAAATAACACTTTTAGGATGAGAAATAAAAAAAAAATTGAGTGTGGTCAAATGCTTTTGACTGTTTGTATATATATATATAGGTTAAGAAATGGACAAGGTCCGACAATTTATTTATTAAAGACATTTTTATGTTTAACGTTGTTATTTATAGATACAAGTATTTAAGCAAATGCTCTGTTTATGATAAACAGTATTAAATAACATTTACCGGCCTGAATGTCCGAGAAATTTTCATAGAAAATATTCGAACCTGCATCCTATACGGAACCGTCATATACGCTGACGTGCCTTAACCGTCTCGGCCACAAAGAACCTTACGGTAGACAAGGTCGAATTTACTGTTTATAAACTTCAATCTTCCATGAATCTCGTACATTCATAACTGCTCTGGCGTATCGAATGTAAACAAATGACGTCATATGTTAAGAAATGGACAAGGTCCGGCAATTTATTTATTAAAGACATTTTTATGTTTAACGTTGTTATTTATAGATACAAGTATTTAAGCAAATGCTCTGTTTATGATAAACAGTATTAAATAACATTTACCGGCCTGAATGTCCGAGAAATTTTCATACGGTAGACAAGGTCGAATTTACTGTTTAAACAGTAAATTCGACCTTGTCTACCGTAAGGTTCTTTGTGGCCGAGACGGTTAAGGCACGTCAGCGTATATGACGGTTCCGTATAGGATGCAGGTTCGAATCCTGTCAAAGAACGAATATTTTCTATGAAAATTTGCATAACTATCACTTATCGATGAATTTCTAATTTTAAATTGCAGATTCTGATTGTATGCCCCAAAATACATATATAACATTGTTATTGTAGGTTTTCATAAGTAAGAATAACAAGTATTTGTTTGCTGTACGATCACTTATTCAACCGCACTGTATACATGCACACACACACACACACACACATATATATGTATATATATATATTTAGGCAGCAAGTTTCATTAAATAATATAGACAAATTTTGTCAATTTATTTTAAGTAAGATCCTTTCATATTGTCTGATAAGCTTAATAACATTATCATTGAAGGACGAAAGGAAATCAGCATATTGATACATGTTTAAATTTGATCTAAGCTTTCGGCTTACATAACCCATTATAAAAGATGACAATTACATTTCAATACATCAAAGAATACACGGACGAAACAATAATGTTAGTCTGCTTTTGTTGCATGAAAAATTTCAAAGCAACGAGAAAATCGTGTATAGGAGACGCGGAAGCGAAAATCGCGTCGAAGCTCGTGACGTCACACATGACCACGCGAGAGTAAAAGTATTAAATATAGAAAGTCGTTGGTATAACCAATGGTTTCTGTTATTAATTATAGGCATTTAAGAATATTTGTGGAGATTTCATAGTTCATTTTGTTCAGGTTAGGTTTCAAATGTTTTATGCATATAGCTTCGAGAATTTTTAGTTTTTGTTTATTGTTTTCATGTTTAAGTATAGTTGTGTTTTCAACGAGGATTTTCTGGAATTGTGTATGCGGCCAGGCATGTTGCTTTAAAGGCCTAAAAATGTTAGAGTTTGCTAATTTTAGTTAAATAACGTGTTACAAACATAGATTTTATTTTTAGAAGATTTTTAAAAATGTTAATGTTGTTTTGTTTAAAAAATTCTTAAAAATGAAAAAATGACCGCTTGTAAGAAAAATATTTAAAGTGGGTATTCCAAGCTATCTAATTTCTATTTGAAATCCACCAGAATATTTTACTTACTGGAACTAGTAAATTTAATCCTCTAGCTTTCTTTTAAAGCTAAAAAGAAATCTTCAAGAATGCGTTTTCATTTTTAAAAATATCATTTTAAAACTTAGGCATTGAAAAAGTTAACATAAACTTACTCCGATGAAGTCCTAGAACTAAACGCTTCACGCAAAAACTTTGCCAACTTTTTCACAGACACACACACAGACGCACACACACGCACATACACACACACACACACACACACACACACACACACACATATATATATATATATCGTAATATATATATATATATATATATATATATATATATATATATATATATATATATGTGTGTGTGTGTGTGTGTGTGTGTATTAATATGAACATTATCTTTCCGAGCCGGATTTTTTTGGTGCACACCAACTATCTTATTTAGCCCGGAAATGCGGATACGAGGAGAAAAATTGTATTAATTGCCTTTATCGAGGTTCCTATAAACCTATAAGGTATTTTCTTATGTGTCTAGATTTTGACATAATTTTCGTCCTTGAATTAAACAATTCAGAACGGTTATGGTATGTGGCTATCATTAGTTTTTCTTCTTGGCATAGTTTGCAACAATTGCCACGCATTCTGTCTGGTTTGATTTTTTAGGATCTTGCACTTGATTTGAGGGCTTCTTTCATAGTTTTCCTTCGACAAAACAAAAAAAATACACCATAAGGCCAAGAAAATATAAGAAAGTTTTCGAGGAGGTAACTAGAATTTATAAAAAGGCGCCTAATTCTTTGATAAAAAATATTAACAAGGAAGCAAAAGATAAGTAAAAAAGATGAGCGTCGGTGAACTTGTAGACTCCAATACAAATGCCAATCAATCAACTGATAGCCACAGATACAACAAATCGGGCGAAATTTTTAACACATCCTCTCTCTCTCTCTCTCTCTCTCTCTCTCTCTATATATATATATATATATATATATATATATATATATATATTGTCTGTGTGTATCTGATTGGAGAAGTTACAAACGTTATGTCGGTTTATTTTAAACATAATCCTTTCATATTCCTGAATATTTTCCGTATATTACAATTAAAAGAAATACACTGTAACAGTGAAAGGATTATGATTAAAATAAGGCGACATAACGTTTGTAACTTATTTATCAGACACACCTAAAAGAGAATTTGCTGACTAAATACACACACACACACACACACACACATACATATATATATATATATATATATATATATATATATATATATATATATATATATATATATATATATATATATATTGGGTGACAGCAGAAATTGTTTATGTTTTTCTCTGAGGTGAAATCATTTATTTAATGCGCATGAAGTACATATTCCACAGCCTAATAATTCTCCCATCACAATTACGCTAATTTGCAAAATTAGTAAAAAATGCTTTTAGACTATGAAAATTATCAACTCGGTTTTCTTCTAATTGATTTTATGGTGCTAAAACATTTTAAGAGATGTTTATACACTGAAGCATTCGTGGATTACGCCCATATCACATTGAAATACCGGTTCCCGTAAGATCACCGAAGTTAAGGTACGTGAAGTCTGGTCCGTACCAACATGTGTGACAACTTGGGAATACCAGGTGAAGCAAGCTGAGATATGCGAGTGGTGTAATGGATATGCAAGCTGGTGTAATAGATAATGTTTCGGAATTGTTAGTTGCAGAGCAGAGCTCTAATTCCAGATGATTTCGTTATATTCACTTACATGCAAAAATACAAAGACAGCATTGCTCTCTCTAAATATTAGTGGCAATTAAAGGAAGCTGCCAGTAGTCTCATAATTACGTGGGACGTAATAGCTAGAGACAAAACTTACAATGAGAAAAGCAAAAATGTAATCCATGCCTTGTAGAAAAATTATACAAAAAATTTTACAAAAAATGAAATCCTAATTAATTAAAGAAGGGAAATGAATTAAAGGCTACATGCAGCCATAAAAAGCAATAACTTTTGTAGCATGTTGAACTAGATTGATTTAATCTTCCTTTTTTATTTCTTTTTTTCAAACTTTATCTTCAGAATATATGTTGTTTATTGTCTTGTGTATGAGTTTATAAGCATTATTTTATATATGCTTTATGCATGTCGAGGTCTTTTTTAATTTTTTTTTCATATCTAATAATTGTATTAAACACATATTAGTCTCAAAATGTCTTCCATGTATTGTGCCGCTTCGATTATAAGAGTAGGATGTGCATATTTTTGTGTGTAGCTTTATATTTGTCTTACGTGCGTATATTAGTTCAGAAGAGTTGTGATATTTTTATGTTGTACCTACAACTTATTTATATACTTTGCATATACGAGAAGCTATAATCATAAGTATATTTATCTTTTTATCTATTTTTTATAATTTTATGTGTATGTATGTGCATGAAGGTGCATATACAGACACGTGTGTGCGTCCAGTGCGATTAGACATATTCCGTTAGACGTGCAATGCAGACAGTAAAAAAAAAAATCTTAAAATGAAGAAATTTTCAAAGAAAAAAAATGAAAAAAATATGTATTTGCATTAAAGGAGGCGGAACAAAATATCAAACTGTGTTTCAAGGATCAAGTAGATCAAAGAACAGATAACAACAGAAAAAGTTCAACCCACCTTTCCACATTCAAGTATGAACTAATATAAGAAAGATATTTTTTTAATCTTTTAAATAAGCATTTTCAAAAAAACACCCGAGTTGTACAAATTATTTAATCGCAACACAGCCAAGTTGAACTACAGTTGCACTAGCAACCTAGGCAACGTTATTAAAATGTTGAACAAACGAAATTCGAACCTTGAAGAACACATGGGATGGGAAACAAATGTTCTTTGCAGTTGCAGAAGAAAAAATAATTATCCCTTAAATGGAGTTTGTTGCGCAGAAAGGGTGGTGTATTGTGCCGTGGTAGAAAATGGCAATAGCAGTGCAAAAACATACACTGGTTGCACTGAAGGCCAATTTAAAAAAGGTGGTATAATCATAGCTCATCATTTAGAATAACCAAACGCAGGTTTAATATAAACCATTATTGGAATTTTAGTGAAGAAAAAAAAACGAAAGAAGTTAGGCCATTAAATGGAATATTTTAAGAAAAGTAAAATATAGTAAAATGAATAGAAACTTCTGTACGCTATGTAAAGAGGAGAATTTTGCCATTCAAGGGCGGTGTTGAGTTGTCGAGGTCCGAAATTATAGCAAAATGTTGTCACATGATAAAGTTGACTTTAGCATTATACACACTCGTTTGTAGTTGGAAATCCATTTTTCTACCCCCCTCCTCCTAATTACAATCGGTGCCGCATTAAGTAATTTAAGTTCTTGCTATGATCTCTGTGATCATTTCACTGAGTTAACCATCTGATGAGACTTTGTCTGTTTTATGCATATACACAGTCATTAATTCTGACGATTCCGTCTGTTTATGAGTAACAGTTGGGTTTCATGTTGTAAGCAATCGTCAGGCCGTATAACGATGAAACAGCCTGTCGCCGCTGGGCGTTGACTTCAACGTCAACTTTTTATATTTACATCCATTTTTTTATGATATTGAGCAATTTAACCCATAGATGTGGCATATATTTGTCATATATATATATACATACATACATACATATATATATATATATATATATATATATATATATATATATATATATATATGTGTGTGTGTGTGTGTGTGTGTGTGTGTATTTTTTACATGTGAACCTTTAGTCAAACATCGTGATATGTAAATACATACAAATATAATTTAGTATTTTATGTGGCTATTCATATATAACAATAATAATTTATTCATGTATCTATCTAATTTACAGATGTATATGTTTTGTGGGAGTAACTTTATATTATTCTTATTATTACTTAGATGTGGTTCTTTTTTAATCATTTCAACCTAAGCACGGCGATAACGTATGCAGGGGAGGTGGTAGAGGTATTGATAGTGAAATAGAAGGCTGAGAATAGGGAAGATTGAGGAAAGGATCAAAGATGAACGTGGTTCAAGATGGCAAAAGATGACGATTGACGTTACCTTTGAATTTTTAAGTTTGCGGTTATCTGGGGAGCAAGGAAAAGGAAGAATGTTCCACAGGTGGGAAGTGCGAGAAAATGTTTGAGTAAAAGTGGCGGTAGCATTTAGCAGTAAAAGAGTGGTATCTTAAATTCAGGTATTTGATGTACTATGGAGAAAAGCTCATCGGAGCAGTTGCCATGAAAATATTTGTAAAAAAGACAGAGGGAAGTCGCGTCACGTCGGTGAGAAAGTGACTGAAGTCGAGATGCCTGGTCAGGATCGATTATAGTGATTTTCCAAGCGTAGCTTAGATGTGGCACAAGGCCGAAAGTATGGGGCACCCAGTGAGGATCGAACTCACTACTCAGTCGTAATTGTTCTAGCCAGACAAGCTTGCTAACCATTACACCACCTCGAGGTACCCTACACCAGCTCGAGGTCAGGATCGATTATATTGAAGATCCTGCTTTGGATTTTGTTAAAAATCTGTAATGTGCAGCAGGCGCAAGAAATGAGATATGACAACATTATTCAATGCACGGACGAAAGGTAGATTTGCAAATGCGTAAGATCGATTCTGGCACGACACAGTGAACTAACTTTTCTTGCAATAGATGCAGCTATTGATTCGATATAGTCGTCCTACTTCATATCAATGGAAAACGTGAGTCCAAAAAGGCATAATGTGTGTTGCTCTCCTAGAGTCTAGTATCAGCCATGCTGATGGCAGACAGAAAAGGTTTTCTGCGTTGATTAAATGAAAGAAGTTTTGTTATGGATTCGTTAAAATTTACATGCCATTTCTTACCCAGTTAAACACAGATTAGAGGTCTTTTCAAGATGAGATGTCAGGTTTACTTTGTCATATCTAACATATTTGCTACAGAGACAGGAGTATATGGTTGTGCCATCTGCATAAATAATTCTATGGAAACTGATGACATCGGGGAGATCATTGATGAAGATCAAAAACAGCGTAATATAGAGCCTTGGAAGACACCCGCGTTTGCGTGAAAGGATCTGGAAGGGAGCCCGTTCAACAGGACCTTCATTTCCCGATTAAATGGTGACGATAGGATTAAACCAAATATTCGTCCTGTGACACCGTAGCCTTGGAATTTGCGTAGAAGGCCAACAAACTAAACCTTGTCGAACGCCTTTGAGATATGTAGAGTAACAACACGAACTTCGCTTGATATAAAAATGCAGGGATGACTTTTACCACATCAGCGGTAGACCTGGCGAAACTGAAGTCATTTTTTTTTGTCCGAAAGGAGGTCTTCTGAAGTAAGATGCTTAACCACGTCAGCATTGATTAGAGACTCGAATACTTTGTCAAGAAACGGTAAGAGATTATTTGAGGGGTCAGAAATTTCTCCAAAGTTCATAAAACCAATACGTACAGAGGAGGACTACCAACAAGCAGCAAAGCAGGAAGCAGGGAAGCAATTGTTGTAGATTTTGGACAGAACTAGAGACAACTCAGGAGAATATTTCTTTAGGTCGACGGCTGGGATCCCCTCACTTCCACTTGCCTTGTGAGAATCTAATTCGGAAATGATGTCTAAAACCAGTGACGATACAAAGAATCAACACATTGTGGCCTTGAAACTTTTCGACAGATTTAATAGAAATTAATCAATGTTGAAGGCTCAAGTCAATGGAAATTTTGAGAAAATTGATATTTATCTTTGGTAGGGTGTGTGCCCCTTTGAGCCTGTTCGATTGTGCATTAATCACATGCGAAGGCATGTCAAGCATTGCAAGTAAAACAGCTTGTTTCAGTTATAGAAACATGATCTTATTCGATTTTTACCTTCTGGTACACTCTAATACAAATGTCAATCAATCAACTGATAGCCACAGATGCAAAAAATTAGGTGAAAAATTTAAGGTATCCTCTCTCTGTCTCTCTCTCAGTCTCTCTCTTTCTCTCTCTCTATATATATATGTGTGTGTTTGTGCCTGAGTGTGCGCGCGCGTGTGTGTGTCTGATTTAAGAAGTTACAAACGTTATGTCTGCTTATTTTGATCATAATCCTCCCATATTCACGAATATTTTTCTGTATATTGCAATTAAATGAGGAAAGAAATGCACTGTAACAGTGAAAGGATTATTATTCAAATAAGCCGACATAACGCTTGTAACTTATTCAATCAGATATGCCTAAAAAGAAATTTTCTGCCTAAACACACACACACACCCACACCCACACACACACACACACACACACACACACACACACACATATATATATATATATATATATATATATATATATATATATATATATATATATATGGGTACCATAGGAGACGTTGTTGATATGTTTGTTTCTCAGAGATGAAAGCTCATGAAGTACATTTTCTGGATGACGAAATGCTTTCAAGTATGAAACAGTCTGGATGACGAATGCTTTCAAGAATGAAACAGTCTGGATGACGAATGCTTTCAAGTATGAAACAGTCTGGATGACGAATGCGTTCAAGTATGAATCAGTCTGGATGACGAATGCGTTCAAGTATGAATCACTCTGGATGACGAATGCTTTCAAGTATGAAACAGTCTGGATGACGAATGCTTTCA